TGTGGAATGATCACAGAAGCCTGTTGACTTTTTTGCTTCTTATTTTAACCTACCGTGCATGGGGCCCAGCCCCCAGCCAGGACTGACAGTGGGAGAGTGAGTGCTGGTTGAGCTGCACCGACTGTCATGGGTGTCCCTTCGTCCCGCTTGGCCACTGTTTTTCCTGATAAGTCAGAGTCCATGCTGAATCAGCTCGTAAATAATTTGAATATCATCCCTATGTCTCAGAGTTCGCCAAGTCATTGTCCCTGAATCTGACTTAACTAGTCTTTCTTAACAAGCCAGACTAAAAATGACCAGACCAGTGCAACAGGGAGCCAAGTACTGCAGGTCAGTGGGCTCTCAGATTCCACGTTCGCAAAATGGAGATTATAAGAGTGACTCCCTTGACCATGGCAAAGGATTGTCACCTGCAGAGTTTCCCCTTAATGTACCCATAGAACATGTTTCCTCCTCTCAGTTGCCCTGGATGGTAACTCTGAAATCCATACATAGGCAGCCCCCTTGGTAGTGACTCCACCTCTCAGAACTGCAAGCGTAGTTAACAAGGGAGGCGTCAGTGTGGAATAGAGCGGTGATACTACCTGAAAGGGTTGTTTGGATCAAACAGAACGTTGTAGTGCTCGCCCAGTGCTCAGATCATGGCAGTGTCAGTGCTCTGTTAACGCTGCTGCCTCCCTCTTCCCTTCCATTTCTCTATCTTAATTTAGTGTGCACCTCTGTCCATATTTTGGCCTTTTGCTCGCACAGGGACAATTGCAATAGCCTTCCTTACTTCTTTCCTTGTTCTGGTTTCTCTCATCCTGTCCTCAGCTCCTATCTCCTATATCCTATTTCAGATGAATCCTAGATTATAAAATTTGTGAATAATTTTTTTGAAAAAAGAAAAAATAACTGGAGAGTCTATTTTTGGCAATATGATGGCCTACAGATTCCAAAACTCGTACATTATAAAACATCTAAAAGTGATTAAAATATTTTTAACACTTTTTAAATGAATTTGTGAGCCTATAACTAAGAAAAGGAAATAAGTACAAATCTAAGGAGGTGAGCTAGGCCTGGGCTGCTGAGTCCTCAGGGCTCCTGGGGCTCTGGGTGCCCAGGGAGTGCTGGAGGTAAGACCACACACAACTTTAGCACGGAGGACAGGAAGGCAGAGTGTGAAGGAGCAGCAGGGACCCCTGAGGAGTGGAGTGAGAAGTTAGAGGCTCAGAGGTTTCAGTAGAGGAGACAACAGAGAGTCAGTGTTCAATCATATAATGAAACACAGGAAGCCCAGAGCGGGAGAAATGTAAAGAAACCTACACCTGGACGTAACATGAAGTCCTATAAGGAAAGGAATCGTCAACCTAGAATTTTTAATGAAATAAAGACATTTTACATAAAAAATAGAAAAAGATTTTCCACCAAAAGACCCTTGCTAAAGGAACATCTAAGTATAGATTTCAAGAAGCAGTTGAAAATGGCCTCCAAGAACGACCCGAGGTGCAGAAGTAACAAATGAAGGTAATACTAAACATGAGGGTAAATCTCAGCAGACAGTGGCAATTTTTAGGAAATGTCTATTTCAGTAGTAAACAAAACTAAAGTATTAGACACCCTTATCATGTAAGGTTGGAGGCAGATAATAAGAATTAAAATATGCCAAGGTGCTAGTATTTTGAAGAAGGAACACAATCTTTGGACTCTGATTATGCACGTTTAAAAATGGCCATGAAAGCACAGTCTGTTGCACAGAATTATCTTTTGATCAAGTTCAGCGAACACCTTTCACAGTAGGCACCCAGGTATTTGTTAAAGGACACCTACCTACCAACTCCCTACGACCATTTAATTAGAGCCTTTCAGTGGGATACACTGGGTTTCGAATCAGTAATCTCACTCATTCTCCCCGCCACGTTCATTATGTACCTACAGTTACAACTCTTCCCCAGTCTTCTGTAGTTGATAATGTGTGTGCTGTGATAGCAGGTTTAACTCATTCTGCGGGTGTCATTATGAGGAGCACTGCTCCTCGTTCACTGGGGTTCAAGCCCTTGTGTTTCACATATGAGCCTCACCAAGGGCACAAAAGCCGTAGCAGCACTGCGTTGTGTGTGTGTCTGTGTGTGGCTTTAAAATCAGGGCAGTTGAGGCTGCCTCGAGGAGGCCGTCCCAGCCTATTCCCAGCACAAGGGTCCCTTTCTTCCTGAAATTCCACTCATTTGCGCTCACTCTGTCCCCTCTGAAAAAGTGGCTGTAATAATAGTACCGTATTTTTTAGCACTCTGGTGTAGGTTAAATGGTGTGGGTTAAATAGCTAAGGTATAAATGACCAAAAGTAAGATTAAGTTTTAAACTAATGTGGGAGCTGAAAAAGTAGAGCATGGAATACAGGGTTAATGCTCACTGACTCAGCCTTAGTCACCCATGGATGACTTTAAATCATAGTTCAGTTGGAGAGATCTTTGGGATCTGTTCTTGTAGACCTAGGGTGGTAACGATAAAGAGCTGTTAAAAGTTTTTGTGAACCTATACCTGAATTTGTTACTAAATTGGTCAACCAGACCTGTGCCAGGGTCCTCGCCTGGGCTGAGACCCCTTATCTCAACCAGGGAGGATCTTTTTCAGCTCGGATTTGCACAGCCAGTAATGAAGCCAGTGCTGAGACTGGAACAGCACCAGCTTTATTCAATGGCCAAAGAATGGAGAAGTGGGAACTTGGTTCACATATCAACTTCCCAGCCCCGTCCAGGTGGAGACACCATATATATGTATATGAGGGTCAAGGTAAACGGGAGGGAATTGAACAGAGAGGGAGGGATATTCATGAATAGAGGTGTGGTTTGAATTCGGAACTGATGCAACTATCCTTTTCAGTCCTTATATGGTCTTGTCTAGTTGTTGTCGTGGCAACTGTCAGCTGTGCTGGTGGATGTGTCATCTAGCATGCTGAGGTATTACAAAGAGCGTGTAATGAGACTCAAGGTCCACTGGAAGTCAGATCTTCCACCATCTTGGGCTGAGTTAGTTCTAACCAGTTCTTGTTTTCTTTGTTTTGTTTTGTTTTGTTTTTTCTCTTTGCAGCTTCCTCCTGAAACTTAGGAGTAATTGGTTTCCCTTCAGGGGAGAGGCAGGGGTATGATTCCGGGGCAGTAGCTTTGGTAACAGATTCATAGGTAGATTTCTACTTGAAAGGCAGAAAAATAGATTTGTAGATCTTTGACTTGAAGGAATCTCAAGATGCCACTGAACTAGTTTTAGGGCTTTGGGGAAAGCCTTTCAAATCCAGGACCCGCGTTCCTCCTATGGAAAACAGAAGCACTTCTCAAAGTTCCTTTCTAGCATTAGCCAGTGCTTCGCCTTAAGTTATGCGAATTATCCACATTGCAAAGTGAAGCAGCTGAAGTCCTGAGAGGCTCAGGGACTAGTCAGGAGTTACCGAGCTAGGGTTGGTGGGTGAGAGGAAAGGTCTGAGAAAAGGGCTGATGAAACAGCTGCTTCTCAGTTAGGTGCCTCTACCACACAGGCTGCCTCTGGCCCTGCTCTGTAGCAGCTCCTGCAGCCCGAGGGCACTTGTGCGTGCACTGTTCTCACGTGGACTGTATCAGAACTTGGCATCTATTGAGCAATACAGTCAGCATTTATTTTGTACGCACACATGCGCACACACACAGAATGATCTATGGCTTTCTTTATAGTAGCCAAGCTTTTTTCTTTATAAAGAAGATTACGGTATTCTTTTTTTTGGATCATTTATTTTTGAGTGCACACTTTTCAACCTGACATGGGGAAACAGATGGGATGATTTTTTCATTTCCCCTGGAAACCTGCAGAGCGGATGTTTTGAGTCCTTTTTTTGCCGGGTGAATAGCTCAGTATGGTCTTGGCAGGAGCACCTGTGTCTGTAGGTGGCTAGTCACCTAGTTTCCAAGCCTAAGGATTCTTCAGTCTTCAGTCAAAGGAAATTTAAAGGACTTGCTTGAGAATAATGCACTTACTAATTTAATCAGGCATTCACATTAAAGACAGCCTAAAGGCAGCCAAATAGTTATGAAAGAATAGTAATAAATGGCCTTTCCTACATATTTGGTAGACATGTTTAGAAAAATGGCACTTAAGTAATAACATTTTCTGGTTACAGATTTTAACTTTATTACAATAAATAGTAAACTGTTTTGCTAACCTGTGCCTTTGCTTTAGGACAATCTATAAAAGTTTATATAGGTCAATAGAAATATTCTACTTTATGCTCCAGGAAAATATAAATAAAAGAAATGTAAGGACTTGTGAAAGAAAATTCACTTGGAGAATTTTTATCAAGGTGCCTGATGTCTGCCTTGCATTGAGCCAGGTTCTGTGAATTCTAGAGATGATGGGTGCCTGTTCTCAGGTCATTCACAGTCTACTGAAAGAGACAGTTAGACAAAACAGTTCTGTCACAGTTTGGCAAGATCTGCAGCAGAGGTATCACAGGTTGCCATAGGGATAATAATATGTAAAGTTACAATCTGGCTGCTGGATGTGTAGGAGAAAGGCCAAAAGGAGTCCTTTTATATTCTGAGACTTTTTTCTTACGACTTGTGGAAACTTTGACGAAGCCGTTAAGGCTCTGTGAGCCCGTGGATTAATGTGTATTTCCAGTATGTTTTTAAGTCATTGCTACTGGAGTGCAGACCACAGAGCCAGGCTTCCGGGGTTCACGTAACTGCTTCTCCCCTTCCTACTTATATGGCCATGAGCAGAGTACTTCTCTGGGCTTCAATTTTATACAAAGACCAGAGTAGTAGTACCTACCTCACAAGATTATTGTGAGGATTATATGAGACAATAATGGAAAACATTTTTAGAATACTGCTTGTTACATAGTAAGTCTCACGAAAATTTTAGTTCTCATTGTTACCAGATTTGGTAGCTAATGAACAAGGAACACTGAAGCACAGTCACCATATTGGCCTCTTACATCCTCTTTTTAAAATGTGAACTTCCACCAAATAAAAATTTTTTTTTTTCCTTTCCAGCTCCAAGAGGAAAACGAGGATGGAAAACCTTCTATGCTGTACTAAAGGGAACAGTCCTTTACTTGCAAAAGGTAAAAATAAATCAGTTAAAAGTGAAGCCTACAAAACTTTGTGCAGGGATAGACAAGTCGTCCAGAAAAAATTCACCTTGTACAGAGAGGCCAGATACCCCAAAGGCTGTTTAAGTGATGTCTAAATTCTGTTTTTAGATTTGATTTGGTTCTGGTGAAAAAAAATTATTTTGGAAATTATATATATGTGTGTGTGTGTGTATATATATATATATATATATATATATAAAACATTTTATAAATATAAAGTATTATATATGTTTGTGTGATCAGAGGAAATGGGTTAGCTGTGTTCTACTTACATTCAATTAGAAAATTTGAATATAAATTGATAAATTCGACTTCATATGGTCTATGCAGATTGCAGTAGCACTTGTTTTGATGGGCATTTACATTATAGACTAGTTACAGCCCTCATTTATTTAGTTATGTAAGAATATATCTTCATTTACCTATTTATCTTCATGTAGATCCTCCCTAACTCTGGAAACACGTTTTCATTCAAGTCCTGAGGCACTGGCATTTAACAGTGCAGATGTATTCCAGTTACCTGGGTGGGAGTTTGACCAGACTGTGTCCTGTCAGGATTCTTTCTTCCAGGCCCCAAATCTGGAAATCAGTTTGGGATCAAGTTTATATGCTCTGACCTTTGAAGAATAGTGCCTGAAGCCTTCCACCTCCCTAGCTCTGTGTGAGTGGAGGTGGGAAAAATGTGTGTTAACTGAAATGAGGTACACACACCACTTCCCAGAGCCTTACGGGATTCTAGCTTCCACTGTGAAGGGGGAAATTTGGAATTACGGCTGATATGAGGCCAGGCAGTAACAACACTGCCCTCCATGGTGGCTGTTAGCAAAATGTTTTTTCTTTTTAATTGTGATAAAAAAAAAAAAAAACATGTAACGTGAGATCTACCCTCAGTAAAATTTTAAGAGCATAGTACATTGTTACTAATTTTGTAAGCATAGTGTTGTACAGTAGACCTCTAGAAATTTTCCATCTTGCATGACAAATAACACCCAATGAACAGCAAGTCTCCCGTTTTCCCCTTTCCCCAGCCCCTGGCAACCATCATTCTACTTGTTTCTTTGGGTTTGACCCTCTTAGATTCTTCATGTAAGTGGCATCAAGTAGTATTTGTCCTTCTGTAACTGGCTGATTTCACTTAACATGATGTCCTCAGAGTTCATCCATGTTGTGATATATGACAGGATTTTCTTCTTCTTTATGACTAAGTAATATTCCATTGTTTACTTCATTTTCTTTATCCATTCATTTATCCAACAGACATTTATTTATTTCCACCTCTTGGCTATTGTGAATAATGCTGCAGTGAACATGGGAATGCAGCTATTTCTCTGATGTCCTGATTTCAGTTCCCATGGATAGGAATAACCCAGAAGTGGAATTGCTGGATCATATGGTGGATCTACTTTAAACTTTTTGAAGAACCTCCATACTGTTTTCCATAGTGGCTGAGCCATTTTAAATTTCTACCAACAATGCGCAGGAGTTCCAGTTTTTCCACATGCATGTCAACACTTTTTATTTTCTGGGTTAAGTATGCAAAGTATTTTAATGGCCATTCTGACAGGTATGAGATGATACTTCATTGTGGTTTTGATTTACGTTTTCCTGATCATTAGTGATGTTGAGCATCTTTTTATATTTCTGTTGACTGTATTTGTGTTGTCTGTGGATAAATGTTTAGTCAAAATCTTTGCCCATTTTTTAATCAGGTTATTTGGTTTTGTTTGCTATTGAGTTATAGGAATTCCTTACATATTTTGAATATTAACCCCTTATCATATATATGGTTTTCAGATATTTTCTCCCATTCTGCAGTTAGCCTTTCCACTCTCTTGATTATTTCCTTTGCTGGGCAGAAACATTTTAGTTTTATGTAATCCCATTTCTCTATTTTTGCTTTTGTTGCCTGTTGATTTGGAGTCATATCCAAGAAATCATTGCCAATGTCAATGTCAAGAAACTTTTTCCTCTCTGCTTCCTTCTACGAGATTCATAGTTTCAAGTGTTAGATTTAAGTCTTTAACCCATGGCGAGTTGAGTTTTGTGTATGGTATAAGATAAGGATGAACTTGCATTCTTTTTCATATGGGTACCCAGTTTTCCTAGTACAATTTGTTAAAGAGATTATCTTTTCTCCATTGTGTGCTTTTGATACCCTGTGGAAGATCAGTTTGATACAATTATTTTTGGTCTCTCTATTCTGTTACATTGGTCTATATGTATACCTTTATGCCAATACCATATTTTTTGGTTACTATAGCTTTGTAATATGTTTTAAAATCAGGAAGTGTGAAGCCTTTAACTTTATTTTTCTTTTTCAAGATTATTTTGGGTATTTGGGATCCTTTGTAGTTCCATATGAATTTTAAGGTGAATTTTTGTATTTCTGCAAAAACCACCATTGGGATTTTTGATAGAGATTATGTTGAATCTGTGGATGGGTTTGGATAATATGGACAAGTCTTTCAATTCATGAACATGAGATGTCTTCCCATTTATTTGTGTCTAATATCTTTCAGTGGTGTTTTTTATTTTTCACTGTGTAAATTTTTTACTTCCTTTATTGTTTTCCCAAAGTATTTATTGTTTTGATGCTGTTGTAAATGGGATTGTTTTCTTAATTTCCTTTTCAGATTGTTCATTGCTAGTATGTGGAAATGCAACTAATTTTTGCATGATGATTTTATATCCTGCAAATTTGCTGAACTTATTTCTTAGTTCTAATAGTTCTTTTGTGGAATCTTTATAGTTTTCTATATATAAGGTCATGGCGTCTGTGAACAAAGATAATTTTACTTTTTCCTTTCCAATTTGGATGCCTTTTATTTCTTTTTCTTTTCTGATTGCTTGGCTAGGACTTCAGTACTATGTTGAATAGAAGTGGCAAGAGTGGGCATTCTTGTCTTGTTTCTTTTCTTAGAGGAAAAGTCTTCAGTTTTTCACCCTGAAGTATGGTGTTAGCTGTGGACTTTTTATCTATGGCCTTTATTATAGTGAAGTAGTTTCCTTTTTATTCCTAGTTTGTTAAGTGTTTTTATTGTGTGAAAGGGTGTTGAATTTTTATTAAATGCTTTTTCTGCATCCATTGAGACAATCATGTGGTTTGTAAGCTTTGTTATTGTGTTAATGTGATTTATCACACAGTTGAGTTTCATATGTTGAAGCATCCTTGCATCCCAGGGGTAAATCCCACTTGGTCGTGGTGTGTGCTCCTTTTATTGTATGATGTTGGATTTTGGTTTGCTGGTATTTTCTGGAGGATTTTTACATCTCTGTTCATCAGAGATACTGGCCTATAGTTTTCTTTTCTTGTAGTTTTGGAGGGGTTGTTATCAGGTTAATTCTGGCCTTGTAAAATGATTTTACAAGTATTCTCTCCTCTTGAATATTTTGGAAGGATTTGAGAAGGACTGTTAATTCTTTAAGAATTTAGCAGAATTTACTTGTGAAGCCACGTGATCCTTGACTTTTCTTTATCGGGAGGTTTCTGATTGCTGACTTAACCTACATGCTAGTTATAGGTCTGTTTCTGTCCATGATTCAGTTTTGGCAGAGAGTGTGTTTCAAGCAATTCATCCATTTCTTCTAGGTTGTGCAATTCATTGGTGTGTGATTGTTCATAGCTCTTTCTTACGATCTTTCTATTTCTCTAACATTAGTTGTAATATCTCTTCTTTCATATCTGATTTATTTATTTGAATCTTCACTCTGTTTCTCTTAGTAATCTAGCTAAAGGACTGTCAGTTTTATTGATCTTTTCAGAAAATCAATTCTTAATTTCATTGATTATTTTCTTACTATTTTTCTGGTCTCTATTTCATTTATTTCTGCACTAGTCTTTTGTTTTCAGGGAAATACATTTTATTTGAACTGCTGGCGTTTTGAAATTTTACTCTTTTCTTCCATTGCAAATAGGGTTTTAAGACAACTTTGTAAAAATAATCACCCTTTTGAAGTATGATAGTAAAATTAGTGTTTTCACATCTAAGACATTATTACCTGAAAATCAGTCAAACATTACTGCTATTTAAAATTTTTTTATTCTAGCACATAAAAATAGGCTTTTGTTTTTAGGAGAAATTATCTCAAATCTTTCTTTAAAAATATAGTTCTATGTTTAGCAAAAATATGGCATCTTGATCAGTATCTGAGCTTGCGTCTTCAGAATTCTCATATTGTTGATGCAAAATGTTTATTATTTTTCTTATTGTCATGCTGATATGAACCATTTATGTATGTAAAGTCCACTTGCTAACAAGGGCCACGTTGAAGCTATGTTAACTCCCTAATGATTGGATATGTGTCCTAGCATTTGACACCAACATTCTACAGAAGGATCTCTGAGCAACTTTGACAGATACTGGTTACTATTCTGACTTTCTTTTGAGAGTCTTCTCCTATTTATTATTTTTCTTTTTTTGAGTTGTATCTAAGTATAACTGACCTATAGCACTATGTTAATTCCTAGTACACAACAGTGACTCGATATTTTATATATTACAAAATAAACACCACAATAAGTCTAGTTGCAACCTGTCCCCATTTAAAGTTACTACCTTACTATTGACTGTATTCTACATGCTGTATATTTGATCCTCATGACTCATTTATTTGGTAACTGAAAGTGTGTACCTCTTAATCCCCCCACCTATCTCATTCATCCCTTCACCCTCCTCTCCTCTGGCAGCTTCTGGTTTGCACTCTGTAACTGTGATGCTGTTTCTGTTTTGTTATGTTTGTTTTGGTTTTTAGATTGTACATGTAAGTGAGATCATGTGGTATTTGTCTTTCTCTGACTTGTTTAATTTAGCATAATACCCTTTGGGTCCATTCATGTTGTCACAAATGACAAGATTTCATTCCTTTTTCTGGCTGAGTTAATATTGTTATATATATATATAAACCACATCTTATCCAGTCATCTGAGGGTGGACACTTAGGTGGCTTCCATGTCATGGCTCTTGGAAATA